GTACCAAGAAGAACTCCACAATGATCAATTCCTCTTCTCTTTTTATTCAACTAACTTTTCTACATTCATCAAATTCATCCATGACCTGGCTCACAGGAGCCTTTGATTTCTTGTGCTTTCGCTTAAGCTTATTTCAGTTGTGTTATGCTTATCTCACAAGTGTGAACCAGGCTTTAATACTAACCCGATGATCCCACCTTCTTTTGCTGGGGAGTGCATGAAATTAAAGGTGTAGAGGTGCGTGGCTTGTGGCGCAAGTGGCCTGCTGTATGCATGATTCTGTTCTTTTACCTGAGTATCTCGCCAAACACAGCTCAATTCTAATGCCTGGATTTCACTACGACACAAGGACAAGCACAAGCCTAAGCATAACGGTAGTGAGGACGCTCGCAACACAAGCAGAACCAAAAATTTTTGTTCCTCTTGTGCTCTAGCTTATGCTTATGTAAGGGGAGAATGTGCCGCTGTAAGCGTAATCCTAAACATCGTCCACCATCTTGTTTTGCCGTGTCGAGGAGGCGTGGAACCGAAATAACACAATTATCTATTCTGCGCATGTTTACGTGCCTATACTTGTGTTGTGGGCGTCCTCGCTACCGTTGTGCTTGCGCTTATACCGTAATGAAAACCAGGCTTAAATGAGCTCAGCACCTTGAGGGGCAAGTTATATGGCTCATTATATATTACTTTTGTTGATAGAAAATGTGAGAGGTCCTATCATGTGCGAGCTGTAATGCCTGCTATGTCGGCGAAACTACCAGGCATTTTTCCACGCGGGTACGTGAGCACATGTTCAGTGATAGGACCTTTCACATTTTCAAACACTTTCAAAATTCTCAGCAATGCCGCAATTCATGCTCCAATGACTGTTTCAGTATCCTAGGTCACGCTTCCACCACCTTTCAGCTTAAGATAAAAGAAGCTATTCATATTCAATGGGAAAAACCTACACTAAATCATCAACTTTATCATGTTAATTTAAAACTTTCTTTGTAACATTTTACATTGTCATGTTTCCTTTTGTTCTTATAGTCAATTAGCATTTTGCGTACATTATATATTCAACTTTGTACTTTTTAATTTAAACTGAAGATGACAGAAAATTTTGCTTAAACATGTTTTTTTTAAAAAAAAACGTTGTGTTGTTTCTCAAACTTTTAACATGTCTGCTACTATCCAGACATTTTGACAAAGAAAGAACAGAGAGGACATCCATTGTATTAGTTGTTTTGCAATAACTGCAGAAATTCTCGCACGCTCATTGGCCAATTTTCATTGTCAATAAGCGGACAGACACATGAATTTATGGTTTATTGTAAGAACCAAATTGCCGTCAGTTTTTAATGAGTCTGTCCTGTTATTGACAGCTACGTCGACAAAGTTATGAGGAAATACATATCAGTAACAGGACAGACGCATGAAAAGCTAACGTCAATTTGGCAATTCGACCCATGACTGAAGTAAAGAAAAAACCAAGTATAAAAAATCAATATTGACATTGTCAATACCTATGCTACATCAGTTAATGAATAATAAACTAAAGCTCTTTATTCCTCACTAGAATATTATGGCTACGGAAACTGAAAAACGATCCTCCAGCATAATGCAATCAGGTGACTCCACGACCTATGCAGTTCCAAGCAGCGGAGACTACATGCCTCTTAATCCATCAACACGGAACTGGGAAATTAACCGAGAACAGGTCAAAATTGTAAAAGTAATTGGCAAAGGAGCTTTTTCTCAAGTTGCCAAGGCAACAGTATGGAACATAAGCAATAACGAGGAATACTCAAAGTTTGCTATCAAAATGTTGAAAGGTACGATTGGAAATTTTAAACTGCCGAGATGAAAAGGAATGAAGGAAGACCATCTTTTATTTGTTTTGTTTTGTAGTGAATGCTCCGGATTCAGACAGAAAAGACTTGCTGTCAGAACTTGAGGTGATGAAAAAACTGAAGCCTCATCCTCAC